GTCAGTTCTGCGGGAGACCCAGACCCACTACTTTGTGTAGGAACTGTAGAAAATAATGTAAAACCACATAGTTAGTGTTACAGATTCGGGGGAGGCAAATATCACAAGACTTGGAGCATCCTGGGAGAAGGGCTGGGCTTCACAAATGTGGTCGAGTTAAATATCTACGTTGTGTCTTTAAAGGCTGCTCAAGATTTGTGTGGTCTACCAGGAGACCCTTGAGTGGAGCCATTTACACGTAAGGTTGTGCTGGGGTAGAGAGGATGCTGACATTTACCTGGGTGGTGTTTGTAGGAGTGCTTGGAAGAACAGTGCCCATGAATCTCTGACACCATGATGTACATCCGGCAAAGAAAAGAGACCAAAACCATAGAAGTTTCTGAGGATTTTCCGTCACCAAAAGGAAATGTGAAGCTGGAAGAGAAACCGCCATCTGGTAGGTCATGTGAGCTAAAGCAGCATTTGGGATTGCTTTTACTTCAGCATATTAACGAATGCCACACTCTAATAGGGTAAAAAAACCAAAAAAATTGGTGAGACTTAAGAAGGACACTTATTCCCACACCCACATCTTCTGATTGTGCTTTGACTATGCTGGCTTTCCAGCTGTAATCAGGAGAAGAGCTTTGATGAGAATTCTTGGTAAGTTGTCTGTTAATTAACTTACGGTGGCAATGACATCGGGTCCCTGGCTCTTCACGGTGATGCTTGGCCTGCCCCACCTGACCATCTCTTTCTCTAGTACCTTGTCTGGTTTGTGAGTGCTGTACCATCCATGCGGTCTTATCTTATTTGAGTCCCATTTTATTATAGTCCCTGAAAAAGACATTTAGCGTTTTATATTCAGTCAGATTCCTGAAGTCATCTCTTTTGCTTTATTTGGGGGGGGGCAGGTAGGTAGGAATGGACGGGGGAGGAGGGAAGAAACGAGAACTTGGTGAGGCGTTTATATAATGTCAGAACAGTTGCTAAGTGACCCCCGGTCACGGTTTGTAATTAAATATGGCCAAAATTTTAAAAGCTAGCCTGTCAGCTATTTTCGGTATCGGACATAATTAATCCTTTGTAGCTAGATGAATTCTTAGCAGCCAGAGCTAATAGCAGAAAAAGCTGTTTAAAAAGATAAATGAGGCCTGTGTTGGAAAGCCAGATCACTCAGCTAAGTTGATTGGAGCCAATGCATGGTAGGTAACTTGGAGTAGTTTCTGGAGATGTTATGCAGTTAAAATGTATGTTAGATTGTGCCTTTCTTTTTTTTAAAAAAAAAATTGCATTTACATATTTACGTTATGTGTATGGCGG